TAGTCGTAGTAGTCGTAGTAGTATAGTAGTAGCAGCAATAGTAGGAGTACTAGCAGCAGGAGCAGCAGCAGCAGTCGCCGTAACACAACCACGACGATGCAGGCTGCTATTGCCATTCCCAACATTTGGCCTGTTACTATTGCTGGTTCGCCGACGACCACGACGACGACCTGTGCGATAGGGCTAGTAACTAGCACCACCGGTTTTCTGACCTTGCTGTAGTACCCACAAAGTAAGCTCCGCAGAACTGCGACGTGTGCCATGGTGCTAGTATAATTGCGCTTTGGTTTTTTCCAACTCATGGTGCTGCATGTAACATAGGCCGCCTCAGAGTGTCGCATTCAATATAGGCCGCTAAACCTGTACGGCCGTAGAACGACTCCCAACAGCCATCACAACAACATGCACGTACGCGTTCTACAAACCATGACTCGTGGATCACCAACCCTTGCCCCTGAACCTTTCAACGTGAATCCATGCCCGTTAACCCTAGCCGTAGCCACTGAACCCTGAATCGTAAACCCTTATGCCCCGAACCCTTCAGCACCCATCCCGCAAAGCCGTAGCCGTTGAGTCCAACATACCGAAACCACGATCTCCTAAATCCTAAGGCCAGGAAATTGGAACATCATTGTTCTCAGGCCTTTGAGGCAAAGTGTGGGGAATCTCCACATTAAACCCTTAAACCCTAAACCCGCAACCTTCCGTAGTTCAATACAGAGATCTAGGCCCTAAACTTCGCAGATAAGCTCTGAGGAGCCGAAGAATCGCGAGGAACTCCGGGCAGAGGTGCTCCGACTGGTTTTGGAGTGTAGGGTTGGGTTTAGAGTTTCAAAGTGCAGGGCGTATTGTTTAGGGCTTGTTTTCCAGAGTTTCATGGGGTCGCTGCTTTAGATTTAGAGTTTAGGGCCAAGGTTCAAGGGATTCCCAGTTAAAAAGTAACAGAGCTCAGACATCAAGGATGAGTAACAACATCAGAATATGCGTCATCATTGTGAAAACCAGGGTTTGAGGGATCCCTTGGTTCCTACACGGGCAAACGACGGCGAAGAAGACGGCTAGCAGTAATGCCTGCAAGTCGAGCATTGGAAGACCATCTTGCGGAAAGTTAGCACGAAAATCCCTAAACCCTAAACCCCAATCCCTAATTAAATCCTAAACCCCGCAAAACTTAACACGAGAATCCCTAAACGCCCTAAGTGAGAGATTCGGCTTTGAAGTTTCGGTCTCTGGAAGGATTTGGGAGTTTCGGTCTTCGGGCTCTTTTGCCTTCGAGCTGAGAGGCTGAACCCTCAGTTGGCGTGAAGTGGTACAGTTGCATGGTTAAGATTTATAACCGAGGGTTTACGTGTAGATCTAGGTTATCTTGTGTGGTTTTGCTGTTGTTGTCATCGCCAGGGTCTTAATGCAGCGTGGTCATCCCGAACGTTGTGATAGCTATACAGTATGTATACAATTAATAGGAGTGGAATATGCTGTGTTATGAACATGTGTATGAGCAATACTAGCGTTTGGTGCTTGTGTTTCCGGTAGTCTTTGCTGCCATACTTCTTCAGAATTTCAGGTTGGTGGCCTCAACTTTTGGGATTTAGGATCCGAGGCCTTGGGGCAGATATGGTCTTTTTTTAGCAGCATGCGCGGGGGCAGGGGGGTGCTTTTTGGGTATATTTATTTTTGTTTAAAACAGGCCGCGTCAGACTCAACTGTAGAGGCAACCCTAAACGCTAAACCATAAACCAACTGCATCAGGAAACAACCGAGGCATCATCCCTAAATCCGTAAATCCTATGGATGCGTGGCCCCACGCTGGCCACCGACCTTGGCTCTTGAACTTCGTTCCTGTGCTAAGCTCTAAGCCCCAGGCCCATAAACCTCAAGCCCCAAAGCCCGGTTCCTGAACAGCCCGGGACGGCAGAGTTCAGGCGTTCAGGGTCCCGATTCAGGGTTGGTTTTGGGTTTTGGCTTTAGGGTTGGTGTAGCTCGAGCCTGCGTCCCAAAGCTCTGAAATCCCTACCATTCCGGCACGACTGAAAACACCGGAAGACAAGCCGAATCGCTGATAGAACCCCTATGTAGAAACCTCAAAAAGCTAAAACCCTGGACCCTGAACATAATCCGAAGCCCCTTATAGAAAGCAGGAAAAAACATCAACAGGACCCTGAAGCCTAAACCCTTGCTTTCTCGAACCCGACCAAAGCATTCAGGTGGAGTCCTTCTTGGAGTCCTTGCGCTTCCCTGTGGAGCCAAAGGTCACGTGCCCAGGTATTCGAAGTGTTAGGGAGTAAAATATAGGGACCTATAAGGGCCGCGTGGGTTCGCGTTTATCATCGTATCATCTGGGATTCAAAGATTCTTGACCAGGCGATGCAGGCTGTTAGAAGGGATTTAGAGGGCTTTTAATAGGGTAGAAGAAGCGGGTTTAATAAGGTTTCCCTGTTATTTCAGCAGTGCTGCCTAGAATGTTTGTCGAGTGTGGTGGGCCCACATGAAAGGGTTTGAT